TCTCTCTCTCTCTCTCTCTCTCTCTCTCTCTCTCTGTCCTGAGTTGCTGTCCTACCCTTTTCGTCTAGCGTTTTATTTGCTTTGTTTCGTGCTAGGTGATGAACGGAGCGTGCATGCCATACGTCTATCGATATCTTCCAATGCCATGCTCCTGACTTTTATCACACCGTACGCCCTGTATACACTGTTGTGAGGTGTGCGTGTCGCTGAACCCCTTCGTTGCCACCGTTGCCCCCGTATTCTCCGACGATGGCCGCCCTGTTTTTGTCGCGCTTACGGCGCGCTCTCTTGTTTGGCGCGCTTGGTGTGAAGAGTTGAAGCCGCGGTTGCCGAGGCCACTCGTCTTAGGGAGGAGGCAGCAAGATAGCACGCACCGTGCTGGTCGCACTTAACGCTGGCGATCGCGAGACGATCCGCCTCGGTACAAGAGTGCCTGGTGTCCTTACCGAAGTTCACTATGTGACGAGTCCAGAGGTGGTGATGGTGCAACATGTGAAAGTCCGCAATTAGTGCAGAGAGGAAGGCACAGTCCTTGGTTCTGGATCTCCCCTACTTTGGAGGTGTGGGTCGACCCGTGGCCGACCTGATGTTGCCATGCGCGCGAGCCGCTCCGTGTTATTGCATGATGTCTGCGGCGCTGCTGCTTTGCTGCGATGCTTTGTACACCGACGGAGTATTTGTCTTCGGGAAATTGGTGATCAGTGTTTTCAGCAGAACGAAGGACTGCCATGCTGCGTAACGCACTTCCTCGGCTTCCACCACAAATGTTTTTGGGCGGTTGTCCAGCAGCTCACCCCAAGTGGGCGCCGGCAGTTAGTGGTCGTGGGTGAAGTTTCAGGTTCCGAGTTGCAAAGAGGAGACGACCGGATGGTTGGAAGTGCTCTTGTTAGGAATATGTCATCGTGTACATACGTCTCGAGAAGAGAGGACAGAAAATGAACAAAACGGGAGGTTGTGTTGTGGCTCCCTGGCGTTCTAGCAGAGCACGGGAAACAAAGATTTGTTTTTGTATGCGCCAAGTTATTGTATGCGCCAATAAGAATGGAGCGTGTGGAATAGATGCGCGCTGGGGAAATATTTGGCGGGTCTCAGTAAACGTTCACAGGATGACATTGAAGGCAATTGCTCACACAAAGATGGGAACGGCGATGCTCACATGAGATGAGAGAGGAACCAAGAAGAGAGCAAGCATAGACAAGCAAGCATCGAGGAGAAATAGATAAAACTCTGCGTAATTCTTCAGTTGCCGCCCACCGCGCTAATTGGCTGACCAAATGAAGGGATGCCCGTTGACAATGTTTCACCTTGTCAGTACGATTAGTAATTGTTTCATGGGTTGCAGATGCACGTCTATGCTGTCATGCATCTTTCCACAAAGCACACGCACACGTTCACACATGACAGGGGACATAACAGACGATACATACACTGTCTCGCGCGCGACCTCGAATCATAGATCGCGTCCGAACGCACCTCCCAACCCCAAAGAAAGGCACTGAACTCGGCGTTGAGTACAATTATCTCGGTATGAACTCTTCGCAAGGTATGTCTTTGCCGCCGTCGCTCCGCCGTTCGTGCCCGGCCACAGTAGGAAACTGTTGTTTCGGCAACAAGCTCGTACAATTGTAGGGTCGTTCAGTTGTCGCCTGGAGTTGGGCTCGACTCCTTACGCAAGCGTTCATGCATACACCTCTCAGTGCAGGTGCCTTGCCCCCAAAGCTCAGCATAGAACTACAAGCCAACCTTCAGAGAATCCATGGCCTCGAGGATTTGTCGGCGCACGACTTCGTCAGTGATTCCCAATCCCTCCGTTGGATGCAAGAGATACCTGCTTGGAAGCGTAGTGGGTTGCAGTCGTACCGAAGAGTTACGAGTGTGCGGTTCAACAAGGTCCTTCCGGAAGATCCGTCTGCGTACAGCAGTGGAAGTGCGACAATCAAATTGTCCTCTCTGAATATGTAGACTATCTATGGACCGATATGCCGGTCGAAACGAAAGAAAACATGCTACGTTCGTGTTCAGGGCGGGTAGTCTCAAGTGCGTTAGAGGGTAGAAATCGGTGGCCTGACACTTGCTTGCAGTCGTGTGTCACTGAACCAGGGATCTTCTTCCGGATCTCCCCTCAATTCTCAACTGCTAACAACACTGGCTTCCTCGCGTATGTTTAATGTTTCAAATGTATATTCCGCACATATTGGTCCCCGCACACCTATCTGTTACGCTTAACAGTGCGGTGCCGTCGACGCCACTGTCATGGAACTTGGAGATGATGTCGGCCCTCGGCGGCCTCATGATCTCCCGCAGCCAAGAGGTCACCTGCCTCGTGCCCCAGGCCCGGACATCTTTCAACCTAGGGGGTGAAGGAGGAACTCTCACGCCCGGAGTGAGCACCGTCCCTATTCGAGACGAAGCGTGCCAGGCTTTCGGGCTGACAGCGGGGGAACAAGGAGTCACAACTGAACGGCCGGATGATACCTTCGGGACGGCGCCGGTATCACCAGGTCCCGACGACGATAAAGACGACAGGGTGGAGCCATGTGTCCCGACGGCGCTGCTTAAGATAGGTGGCGTCGAAAGTCCTCCTCGCAGCGGATTTCCTCCAACTCCCGAGCGGCTTTGCGACGATACCGGCGACCTCAGAGAAGGTGGTCTGAAATCAACGGCAGCGCCAAAGGGAGGAGGATAATGGAACCCGGACGGTGGTCCCTGCCATCTCTCAGACGTACCGGACGGCGACCCTGCGGTCGCACGTGCGCCAAGCTCACCCTCACCCTTTTTTCCTTTGCACTTGGGGCCGTGGGAAGGCACGAGGTGAAAGGGTAAGCTTTCGTGGCAGCGCATGCACGTTACCGTACGATCGGCGTCTCCAGGTCCTGATCCCGGTCCCGGTCCCGGTCCCGGTCCTGGTTCAGGCCCTGGTCCGATCGCGAGAACTCCTCCCTGCCGCGCATTGCCCTCGTCGGTTTCTCCGTGGCTAGCATGCTCGTCACCCTTTTTTCTCGTTGTCTCGTTGGGTGGTCCAGCCCGAGTGCTCGCCGTGGCGTCAAGGTTTCGCACGCGCGTAGGAGTAGCGGAAGCGTTTACAACACCTTCGCTTTCGGCGGACTCCTTCATCGAGCAGGACCCCATGTGCTTCTCGAGGTTGCGCACTAGCACCTTGACGCCGCACTGGAAAGGGCACCGCACCAACCGAAGCTCACAAACCTGCACGATGGCAGCGGTAATCGTGGCTCCGTCAGGCTCCTACCGTTGGACGTTCTTCGTATGGTGCAAGTTCTGGGTCGAGTATATTCTTCCAGCAATGATGTTTTGGCGGTATTTTTCCGTCTCATACTTCCGGCCCCCTGTCAGATGCGACGGATAGAATCCTGCCAACTCTGCACAAGTTCCCCTGCTACGCGTGCTTCGACGCAGCCACACGCTAATACAAATCGAGTTGGGGCTCACCTGTAAGTGCGTGCTCATGGCAGACTTAAGGTATCGTCGTAGGCAGAACTCGCACTGTGCTGTGACCACACCGGAGTCCTGCCAAGACACAACAGGCATGCATCGCAAAGCCAACGGCTCAGTTGTTACTTCAGCGAACAGCACGATTAGTTTTGTAGGAATCCGCGCGCTGAATGCAGCGCGACGAGTTTCCGCAAAGATCGTCCTGACGAGTCCGGTCACCTTCGAAGCTGATCTATCCCGAAAGCTGACTGGGGCAGGACCCGTAGAAACTGCCGCCATCGACTTTCTCCTCATGTCCAACGGCATTTCTGGCGGAGGCGCGCGTGGCGGTGGCCCCTTTTGTGGATTTTTGTGGTGAACGCGTCCACCGTACGTGCTGACCCCTGGGGTGGCACTGACGTCATCGCAAGTACCTCTCTCCGACGTTGTCGATGTTGAGAGCGAACTCGTCGGCTGCGGCGTCAACGCGATGTGGGGCCAACCGATGGGTGGTGCCAATAGGTTGTGCGGAGCAATATGTAAGACAATGCCGTGAAGCGTCGATACGTTTGTTACATAATTGTTATGCTTGTAATAGCCGTAACCCTCAAAGGTGTCTAGTCAACTCCTGCTAGACATGTTGTCACTCTTGCCAAAATGATCACCAGCTCGCTGCATCAACAAGGCTAGCGAATGGGGTAGGTCAAGTGGAAAATACAGGAACTTGGGAGACGCGCATGTTCCATCATCCGATCCTGCACACCGAACACACCGCGCATGTCTTTCCCCCGCCAGGTCTCGAGGTTGTAGTTGGGGTGGAGTGGTCGTTGTCGCACGTCTCTCGCAGCCCTAGCCCACGTTGCTGCCCCACTACCGCCTCGTCGTCGTCCACTGAAAAGCTACTGTCCGACGACGACCCTGGCTTGGTAGACGCCGCCATCCGGGATTGAGATACGTCGCTCCCTCCCGCCTCTGTATCCGCGATTTTGCTACTGTCACTTGCACCCAGACCATCGCCCAACAACTTCGGCGGCGCAACATTCGGATCTAACGCTTCGGCTGGGGATGTTGCAGCAAAATATTTTTCGGCCCCACCAGGGTCGTCAGCCTGAGGGGCTCCGGTGCTGTTGACGGAGGGGGTGTGGGGTGGAGACATCGGCGAGGGGGGTGGAGGTGAAGAAGAAGGTGCGGAGGAACCGCAGGAAGGAACAGAGGATGGCGAGGAGCGAGGGGACGGACCCCTGATCAACTGCGAAGGATGCCCGTCACCAACTTCTTCTGCACTCGCCGCAAGAGCGGCGTCTTCCTCGGCAGAAAATGACACGGCCGCCAACGCACGGAGAGTGTCCGCTGAGGATGTGTGGATGGCCTTTCGGTGGACATGTAGCCTATCTACTGGAGGTGGCTCCGGCAATGTTCCTCTCTGCTCCGGCGTTCCTGTTCCTTCTCCTGTCTTGAACGGGTATTGCGTTTCGCTGTCCTTGCCATTGTCAACGACGCTCCCAACCGATCGTTGGCCACTCTTAAAAGGAGCCGAGTCTCCATCCCTTAGAGGGCAGGATTTGTTGTCGACGTCTCCCAAATAGTCATCCTGGTCGATACTTCCTTGGCCTGCTGTCGCATCGGCCGGGGTCACTCCCCCAGGCATAGAACAGAGACCCACGGCGCTGGAACACTCCAAGGGCGTGGGCTGATCGTCACAAGCTTGAACGGCGGGAATCATCGCCCCTGTGGTACTCTCTACGCCCTCCTCCCTTGCGATAGTGTTTGTAGAACCCCTTGCCCCGTCCTGTTCCTCCGGGAGAACCTCTCCGCTTTCTTCGAGTGCTGTTTTGGGAGAGTCCGCAGCAAGCGTCGACGCAGTCGTCTGCGAGGGTCGTGCTGCCGATTGCACCACTTGGGCAAGGATCGGCGTGTGATGGTTACCGATTGCCCGGGACGGAGCTTCTCCGCGCCTGTCGCTGGCCCATTGCCCGGCACGTCTGCGAGTGTCGCGGGCATTCTGCGGGAGAACCACGTGCGAACGTAGAGGGGGGACGACGGACAGGGGCGGAATAGCGGGGGGTGTGGGGACAACAAGGGTAGTGTCAGTGGATCTAAAACATCCTCTACAACGTACCCTCCTGGTGTGTGTGCGTCATTCCATTTACATATTCTCCTCGTGGGTTACGTAAACGTCAGGGCCTGCCGATGTTTCGAAGGCAAAGCCCGCTGAGCAACGCGTAATCACCAGACTACACGTTTTTCGCCTGGCATCTCCACCCGCCTCAACCCAAACCGTACGACGAAATAGGAGTGTTTGGAGCCCACACACAGAACGAGCGACACTTACGATGACAATCCCTCTAGTCCTCTGCGGTGTACCTGAATCTCGAGCTGCAGCTGCTTCAACTGTGAACCGATGGAGGTGACAAGGCTCTGAGTGTGCGAGTGGTCGCTCAGGGTGCTTGCCATAGATCCCTATCATGAAGGACCGCAAAGCATGTGAGGAAATGGAGGAGGGTCGGGACGTCGCGTGGTCACCGCTCCTGTGATTGGTCTTGAACAATATTTTCACTCGCGATCGTGTTCACGGCGACGGCCAACGAGGAACAGTGAGAAACGCACGTTCGAAGAGAGTTGATGACTTTGTCAGCTCGCCCTTACTAATAACCGCATACAAGGGAGGCGCTTCTATTTCATGGATTGCGCCCACCCCAAAAACGGGGCGTAAAATATATCAGCGGGCGTATGCATCACTTCCGCGCACCAGAGCTCCCTTGTGAGCAAAGGTCCGCTTACCTCGAGACGGTCGAGGCGATCGTGTATTCTCCCATGCCAGTACTGTTCGGTTCGCTCAAGCGAAGCACGGACATTGGATACCTCCTTTTCAACCTTCATAACAGCAGCACAGTTCGAAGGGTATGGCCTTGGGGGTGCGGGACTGTAGTGCTAGGCCTTTGGTGTGATTCCCTCGCTTTCTAGCTTGCTGGCAATAATCAATTCTCTCGTTGACCTTCTCCCTCAACCGTGGCAGCTACTACTTCCTACGTATCATGGCGAACATCTGAGGCACCTCCACAATGTTGCTTACCATCACGCTACGCATGTCTCTGGCCATACGAGACAACTCAGCTCGAGGATAAACAGAGCGGAAATGTGCCATCGTCGCGGGTTTTGTGTCACGCTCGTTGATCTTTCCCGAACCCGTGAACCAAGTCGTTTGGTGTCTCCAAAGCGAGTCTCTATTCACCTCTGCTCGGTCCTTGAGTCGATTTTCTCTCTCGCGCAACACTTCGCCGGAAATTTCTTCCATCCTGCGAACGTCTGAGGCGCGAACCTGCAGCAAGAATCGGCGATTCAGTGTGGCCCAACGAAGTCAGGGTGGGCGTCAACCTGGGTAGTCGTCACGGCCGTTCCACCAGACAACAATCGATTCCTAAACAACATAATTCCCGGCATTCCTTCCCCCAATTTTGGTCACCTCCTCAATCCTTCGCTGTAGGCTACCCTCGCTATCCTGCAACTCCCGTCGGATGCGGGCAGTTTCGCTCCCTTCACCGCCCGTCAGGTGTCGCTCGAGCGACGCCGTTGTCAGCTCGACTCCCCTGATCTGGTTTTCGGTGCATCGCGCGAAGGTGAACAGTGGGGCGTGTGGCGTTTCTATCATTCTCTGACTCGAGGTATTCGAAATTGGTTCGCTAGGCCATCTCGATGATGCTGTCTGTTTTGCCTCGGAAATGAGAGCGTTGACCCGCGCAGAAGCGACGTAGCATTGGATGGAATCATGAACAGCAACCGTGTCATGCTTCCATCGTACGGGGATGCTGTTGCGTCGCATGCCGTAATCCTATTTGTGCACGATGTGCACATGCGCCCGCCACCCGGTTGTCACCAGTACATTTGCATGCATGCGCACAAGCCGAACCTACCGCCGCCTCCGCTCGACGCCACTTTGTTTCGGCTTCCTTGACTTGTTGAGAGAGCGTGTCCATCTGCTCCTTCCATGCTACCATTACATCCTCGTGCTGCTTCCTCTCCTTTTTAAGAATCGCTTCCATCCACCGCTTGTCCTGTGTGGCCAGATGTGAGGTTGAACATACGGCACCAGTCATCACAACAACCAAAGGTCACAGCAAGAACACCGTTATTCCCTCTCCTCAACCCCTGCTTCTATCGAATGCCACCGACTTCCATGCTTGCCATGCTTCCACCACCCTGTCGCGTGCTGCAAGCGAGAAGCACCGCCATGCTCTTTCGAAAAATGGGTGTTGCAGAGCAGAAGCTCTTGATACCCTTCCAGGTCTAATCCGTGCTCAAGTTCGAACGGCGTTGGTCGATCAGCTCACTGAGGGAACCACAATATGCAACAAGGCCAACCATATGTCAAATGGTCTCGTGAACCAAGGACCCATGACGTACCTGGTCTAATTTCGCTTGTGACCGCTGCATTTCCGCAGTCAGTGCAGTCTTCATCGTTGTCGCTAGCTCCTGAAAAAATGCCGTTGTATGGCAAGGGAGGCGTAATCACTTCATTCAGTCGTGACCGAAATACGCCACGTTTTCCGTGTTCGACCAACAAATACGCAGCGTGATTCTCACAATTTCTAGTACAACGCCGCGTGTAAATTCCCAGCCAAACTGATGCGAAACGACGTCATCTAGGCTTTGTTTTTGAATCTTGTTCATCATACAGCATGCGATACCCGTACCTCTGATATTTCTTGGGTATAGGTCCGCCCTCCAAGGGAAACCTTGAGACCAGAAATGTCGTCTTCGAGACTGGACAATCTTGCCTCCACCTTACGCCAAAGGGAAGTGCATGTGTGGCGGTAAACACATCGTAGGCTTGCGGCGGGACCGATGGCTCGACCTCTTCAACATCAAAACCTGAGAGTTGTTCAGCAGCGCTACACACAAGAGGCCGTTCATCCACGAGGCGCCCGGCATGTACCACACTCGAGAGAACAGCCGTTTCGCGAAGGCATGCCGACGAAACCTCTTAACAGGGCTCACAAATGGCGCTCAAGTTCTAAGCTTCTGATTTTACGAGTCTCAATTTCTTAACTGCGAAGTTCTGAAGTGCGGGCGCTATCTGTACCCTCCAACGGTTTCTTCACATCTTCGCCCCCCCCACGCCGCCCACACTCTCTCACCGTCTCACTGCTACTATTAATGGGCGTGGTAATTATGGTTCTCCCGTCTTGTTCATCCTTCTTCGTTGCAAAACTTGCGGTAGTCTCGCTCTGGTCGTGTTCACACACAACCGACTCCGATCGGTAAAGGAAAAGCCTGAACCCTTCCCCTCGTTGATGCGTTTGGTACAACGGAATCGTTTCTATTGTCGGCCCTTAAGCCGTCTATTGTTAGTGTGGCCAGGGCATGATGTGCGGCACATGAGCGTTGAGACTTGCAGAACATACACAATCCTTGACAGCCTCGACAACCTGTTACTTCGTGGTTCTATTCATCTCAAGATACATATTCCTTTCCGTGGCATATTGACGCTCCTATCCCTTGAGGACGACATATCGAGAAATGATCGTAGGTCACCTGCTCTCGGAACGGTCCAAACGTTGACCTGATGGCATCGATTACTTGCCCGTGACTCACAGCTCCATGTAGTGCACTTTCGGCCGACAGGCACCGGCGATCTAACACCACCAACGCGTCGCGCATCTCGCACATCTGTTGTTTCCCCAAAAAAAGCGAGAGGTGATCTGCTCATCCTTCCGTGTGGTATGTGACATTCACGGACACGAGGTCATTTGACAGCGCCAAGTGCTTTCGGCCAAGTCGAAACGTAAAAGAGCTCGACCGTGGCTAGCGCTGAAAAACGCCAAACGTGTTTTTGCGCCAAGTTGTGGGACTCGAAGTTGTAGGGTGTAATCATGGCGATTGCCCAAAGTCGATCAAACACTTGCTGGACGCGACAACGAGCACAACACACATTCGAACCGTTACGGAATTGTGCAAGGCTCTGCCAAGATTTCTTCAGAACAGTGTTGAACGATACCCGTCGTACGAGGCGGGCTGCGACCATGGGTAGCCAAGACGTTGAGCAGCTTCACTCGCTCACGTGTGTTTCCGTTTGAACCTGTCGGCCACGGAGAGCTGCCACAGCCCCTTCCGCTTTGCTCCGCGTGACGCGATACTCTGTGAGGTCGTTGTCCTGCTCGGACAAGCGTCTCTCCACTAGCGCCATCCGTTGGACAGCCCCGCGAACCTTCGACAAGAAAAACGCACGCTGCCTCAGGACCACCGCCACCTATTCGGTGGCATGCATGGTCCACCCTCTTGCAACAAAGAGATTGTTCTTTGAGAATGTGGATTGCACCGACCGTCGATGTTTATTTTTGACGGTGTAGAACACCCTTGTGTGCTGGATGGGATACTCACCTCCATCATATTTCGTCCAGAATCGTCCCTTAGGACCCTGATTGCGTGATCCAATGAAACCTGGCGCGGTGGATGAAAGCCAACGGTACATAACTCCTTCAGAAATGGGGTCATGCAGAACGGGGAGTATGGTTGATGGGCTATCCCCCTGCTGCAGCTGCCGTTGACGAGACGTCGGACATGAAGTTTGAGGAGAACAGAATCACGGCTCAACATGCAGATACGCGCCGCATGTTTGGGGCCTTAACGTGATGTACCAACAGATACTTCAAGTATGTAGCCTACAGTACCATCACACACTCAGAGACCGTCCTCGACGGTGGCCTTTCTTATCCCAACGATGAAGATTCTAGCATTCTAGCGGCACTGCTACAGGGCCGATTTGGCCTTTTGGGAACCCGCCAGGAAGTAGGCTGGAAAGCGTAATATATAGGTCAAGATGTATAGTTAGTTTGGGTTGCAGACATGACAGTAGGGGGAGCTTGGTCTGTCTTCCGACTTCGCTGCGATCTTTCAGAACAGGAAACGCACGGTAAGGTCTACCTGCGTCTGGCGCAAGCCATCCGTGACTGAGTCAAGACGTTGCAATATAATCGGGTCCGACATGCAGCTTTCAGAGACAGGAAGAGCTGTCGATCTTCGCGCTGAAGAGACCCGCGTGTCGGAACGTGCGTTCGTCGTCGCAGTCACGTTGTAGTGTCTCACTGCAGGGCTTCGCCTGCAGGATCCGTCTCTGGCAAAACGATACCTCGAACAGCAGGGGTATGATAGGCTCAGGCAAGTAAGGGGCTTACTGAGTGATGGCTTTCCGCAAGCGCCTACAGATATGATGACCTGTTGACATGTGGTACGCATAGAACGACATTTACTTGTCGAATGTTGCATCTTGGAATCCTTCCACAGTCTCCGTCAGAGCGCCCTTCCGCTGCGCTACAATACCCTCTGTCAAGACCAACATCCTCCACCAAGATACTATCTTACCCGTCATGCTTTCTCCACGCATCTTGAACTAAGGCAGACGCTCGTAGATCATTGCCTTGGGCGGTGAGCCCCTGGTTGGCTGATGGGTCCTCCATGTTCCGCTGATTTGTGTAAGACAAATTGGAATCTGGCGGCAAACATCCCTCGACATGACGCAAGATCTGTTCCGACATCAGCTCCCAGTCCATCTTAGATCAGATGGTCATCGAACAGTCAACTTTTACGATCCATGCAAGGTATCCATTGCCCTGGTGGCTCCCGGTTCAATGAGCTGGAGAAAATCTCCGAAGATCTCTAGCGTTCGTCAGCAAGTGTACCAGCAAACTCACGTACCTAGTTGTACATTCAAACAGCAGCAGCTGCACTGCTGTGATCCAGCAGTCACGTAAAATGCGCTGTTTTTATCATGGACGGAATACACGCCGTCAACGAAGGACTTTGAGAGGTGTCTCGAAACGGATCTGAAGAAGAAATTCGAGGAGTGGGTGGTGCCAGCCAGGTGCCAGCCGAAGGTTGGATCTGAGATCTGAGATCTGAGATCTGAGTGGATGTGAACCTGTTTTTTCGCAGGCTCACGATCACGGTTTCACCCGAACCGGCACGAGAACCAGGCGACGGAGCAAACGTTTCGGCGTCGAGGAGCGCAAGCACACGCTCAACACACGCACCACGCTAGCTTGGCTCTTGTTGATATTCAGCGAAAGCACAGACACGGACCGATGGTAGGATCAGGGCGCCAGGGGAATGCCCTACCGATAGATGATTGCGACTTATGCGTCATATCATCAAGTCTGAATTGCCGACAACCCCGATCCCAGGTCTCTGCCCGTCCTGTACCGAATCGCACTGGTAGCTCACCTTTCCCCGATTTACGCCGGCGCGTTCTTCCTTCACGCCCACCTCTGCTCCAGCCACGTGTCCAATCCTATGGAAAGCCAGCTACACGCGCCACAAATCCAACAAGCAGAGCGGCGCCTTGTGCCGGTCAACTGATTCCCTCTGCGACCAAAGCGAAGGACGGCTTGCCGGATCCCAGCGAGCTCAACAGCAGCAACAAAAGCAGTGTCAACTCGTCCAAAAATACAGCGGCTACAATCGAGCTTCCCTCGGCAAAGGACCACTCGGGAAGCTCCAGGAGCGAGCTGGGAAGGGTTCCTTGTGCCCATGGAGTAAGAGCGGGAGGTCTTCGGGGACGAACGCTGAAAACGTTGGCTGAACCGACACTCGAGTGTCATGGTGGTGGCGATGCCAGCCAAACACGCCCAACCTCAATCGCGCAATGCTCGAGACGTCCGGACAATGGGCAAGTGAGTGCTCGATCTGTGACTACAGGATGTAGATCATCGGTAACGCACTACACTACTTGTCGGTATGTCATGTTCGCTATGATAAAGCTTATTAACCCCTACGGATTTTTTTCAGGCTCACACAGCAAATCGACCCTACGATGTTCCTAAAAAAATGGATAAATTTCACGGCAAATTATACAAATGCGTATGGTCCGTTTCAGGAAAAAAACACAATATTTTCCCCTGCACGAAGGTGCACTTTTCTCGGCTTATTCCGAAATCTGAAAATACCGCGTAAATCGACGTTTCAAGGCGCATCTTCGTACGGATTTTTTTTTTTTTCGTCCTTCGCTCGATATGTTCAGATAATCAAGAAATCTTGCTTACTTTCTGGAGGGCGGTGTTTTTTGCAGACACAAAATCTGAGACCGGATTTGGACAGCTCTCGTGATTTGCCACCGATGATTTTTTTCCGATTTCCAATTTGACAAAAAACAACGAAGTTATGGGCAAAAAAACGGATATTGGAGGGTATTTTGCTTAGTTTCTTGGGGGCAATCCAACCGTGCGATTCAAAAANAGCGGGTGGCGAGCCAGGTCGCGGGCAGGCGAAACTGCCGTTCGGTTCTGTGGTTCGCTCTGCAGCGAGCGCTGCGGTGTCTGCAGCAGCTCGCACAGCAATGGCGGTGGCGCCCGAAGTCGCGCCGCCTGCGCGAAAAAACGCGGTGCAACNGTGGGGGGGTGGGGGCTCCGTGGGACATTTTGGTCAAAAATGTCGCATTTCACCCAATCACCAAAAACTCATCGGATATCGACGAAGCTCGACGCCGGTCACGCCCAAAGTTGTTTCACTTTCCAAATCGTTTTTTTTCGAAAGATATCGCGAAAAACAAGATTGTGAATATTTGCCCGAATGGACCATACAAAAAATAAAGCGGGGTTATCGTGCATGCGTAGTCCCGAAAACCCTTTTCCTTCAGCGAAAATTACACACAGCACACGGATGTCCTTCACTCCCTATATTCTGGACCACAGACACCGCAGTCATGACCGCATCAGGCGCCGAGGCAGTGTCGTTTTCATCGGCTCCGGGGTGCGGTATCTCTGCTCTCCATCGCGCAAGCGGGACCCCGGGTCGATCACATGCTGAGGGTGCTGTGTGTACCCTCCCGTATTATTTTCCGTTTGGATCTTACAGCAGTAGACAGTAGATTGGGTCTGGAAAGAAAGGGCATCTCTGCCCCCACACTAGAGACTTTACTGCTGTACAAATGGTAGTACTGCGTGTACCCCTGCGCACATTGCTCGTGTGCGTGCTTGTGTGGTGGGCTGCCTCTTGGTCTCTACCGGCCTTTACGGCGCAGTGTTTTTTTCTCTTTGGCGAGGCACGCCAGCGATCTTTCGGCACACAACATTATCGTACTCCTATCGTGCATGTAGTCACATAAGGGTTAAGCTAACTTCAGCACACGGCCGACCTCGCAACTAACTGCAGCCTTTGAAGACAATAGAAACGCCTTCGACCTTCGAGATGTTCGTCTGGTTGGCTCGATGCTTTCACGTTTCCTGGCGGGGGACCACCGTATAATCTCCACCAAGATGTTAACCCAAGCAGGCTTGAGGGTAGCAAGAAACCGGTGTGAGCTTCCGGCGTGGTGGGCCACCCGTCGTACACCTTTTTCGACGTCGTTGTTGTCCAGCAGGAGCAGCTCCTGACCTGCAAAAGGAGCTTGTCCGGGCTGACGGTGCTGTCGGAAGATGTCTTGGTCCAAATATGCGAGTACATTCAAGAGAAGGACATAGTCCGGTGAGGAACAGAAAACGGTAGTTTAAGCTTCTTGATTTTCCTTTTGAGGCTTGCGTATTCCTGTATTTATTGTAGCCATCCGGAGGGTAGCAACCCTTAGTTGTAGCGGCCGTGTCCTTGTTGATGTGCTGCCTGCATTGCATCACGGAAAACAGACACTATCTTCGTTCTGCGGCAATCTTGCAAAGACTGTTCGCTGTGGGTAGAACCTTTCAAGAGCGCTCGCCGCATGGGTTGATCGCCGACATCGGCTCAAATGCCCGCTTCCAACGCGTGCGCGACGTTTCCATCCCAAAGGCTGTCGACAGCCTCTCCAGCGGCGTTCGACGAGAGGCTGTGGCAGCAGCTACATCTCGTTCGCTACGGTGAGAGGCGATAGAATAGAGCACTCCCTTGCAAATGGGGCGTGTGATATCCCCGCACATGTGCAAAAGGGATAGCGGACAAGGGCGCAGGCTTTAGAGGTTACCAAGTTCCCGTAGCTTCAAGCTGGACTAGCGCTAACCTGTTTGTCATCTCCCCTGATACAACAACAACACCGCGCGACGCCCACCATCAACAGATGCAATTCTGTACCCCGCATGAAAGCGTCCTCGCCTGACTGGCTCATCACGTCCGCAGGGTCACCGAAAAACTCCTGCCTGGGAGGTCTTCCGTTCGCACACTCCTCCAAGCTTCAGCTCCAGAGCGACTTCCCGATGCACCACTCGAGGTTGTTCGCCATCCGGTGCCATCATGGATGCATCCGTTCCATGTGAGGATCGAGAATAACCGCAGCAAGTCAGCAACACATCTGAATGGGATTCAAAGACACAACCTAGATGACGCGTTTTCAGGGGAAATGTGCTTTGGCGGGGATCGCGGTTGCCGCAACAGGCAGCTGAATTGGTCGATCGATAGCCCGGAGCGTTCACTATTTTCGGGAGAATTCT